CGTTGCACGGCGTGATCGTTGCGTGTATACTTTTTTTCAACAGGTTTCTCCATGTTATGTTATGGGAAAAAAAAGTAAATTGTTGCGTTGACTAATATATATGAAGCATTCTCCGCATGTCGGAGTCCCCTTCTTATGCGAGCGGTGTACCCTCGAAAAGACGCACAAAAAATCTTCTTGACCGATCAATGAAAGCTGCCGGAATGAAACCAATTGGGATCGATGTATGATGTTATTGCGAACAAAAAATGTCAATAAAATTTTTTTGTACGAATGGTCAGTAATTAGTTATTAACAAAAAACTTAAAAAAATATGAATAATTTAATAAATCGTTCCGGAAACTCATGGACTAGCTAAATTGGGTCAAAATAAAATGTTTTTACTCTTGTCATTTTTTTGAAAAAAAGCTTCCTTTTCGAACTATAAGCGATGTAAAGTCGAAAAATGACCAAAAAGCGCCATCTTCAAACATTTTTTTTTCGGCTTCTACCAAAGCTAATTCAAATTTGTTTAATGAATAGTAATCTTTGAAACTTGTACTTTTGGCCCGTATTTTTTACATTTTGGCAACTTTTTATTATCATTATGAAATTTTCACTAGAACAAGGGTGATAATTGCAGCATCGCGCGTGGAATGGGGAAACTAGTAAACATAAAAGTGTCGAAGTGTTTGGTATTAAATTGTAATTTATTAATCTTTTACAACTATTATACATATATATCTTCATTTTCACATTCATCGTCAGTTTCTATATCATCATTCAATGTATCAAGATTTTGACAATTTTTAGAACAAGAAAAAAAACTTACGATGAATGTCAAAATGCAGCTTTATATGTATAATAGTTGTAAAAGATTAATAAATTACAATTTAATACCAAACACTTCGACACTTTTATGTTTACTAGTTTCCCCATTCCACGCGCGATGCTGCAATTATCACCCTTGTTCTAGTGAAAATTTCATAATAATAATAAAAAGTTGCCAAAATGTAAAAAATACGGGCCAAAAGTACAAGTTTCAAAGATTACTATTCATTAAACAAATTTGAATTAGCTTTGGTAGAAGCCGAGAAAAAAATGTTTGAAGATGGCGCTTTTTGGTCATTTTTCGACTTTACATCGCTTATAGTTCGAAAAGGAAGCTTTTTTTCAAAAAAATGACAAGAGTAAAAACATTTTATTTTGACCCAATTTAGCTAGTCCATGAGTTTCCGGAACGATTTATTAAATTATTCATATTTTTTTAAGTTTTTTGTTAATAACTAATTACTGACCATTCGTACAAAAAAATTTTATTGACATTTTTTGTTCGCAATAACATCATACATCGATCCCAATTGGTTTCATTCCGGCAGCTTTCATTGATCGGTCAAGAAGATTTTTTGTGCGTCTTTTCGAGGGTACACCGCTCGCCTATCTGCCCATTTCATTTTTTGACAGAATTCAACCAACCAGGGCTTAAAATTTTCGTTGGAGTGCCTACTTTTTATTGGCGTGTGGCGTTTTGTGAAAATTCAAAATGGCGGACTGGTGCAGCGCCGAGAATGAAAAAAGTATAAAAAATGAAGTATATATCTTCAAAAAAAATGCAGAAGTGACACTTCATGCGGATAATACTTTATACTGAGGAGTTTTTCGAGGTTGCTGGTTCCGATTCTGAAGTCGAAATTGAGAAATTCAAAATGGCGGACCGAGCATGGCCGACCGAAATGTCGAAATCTCACTAATTTCTTATGAAACTCGATACTGGGGAGTTTTCGAGGTCGCTGGTTCCGAATCTGAAGTCGAAATTGAGAAATTCAAAATAGCGGACAGAATATGGCCGACTGAAATGCAGAAATCTCACTTGTTTCTTATGAAACTCGGCATGGGGGGTCTTTGAGATCGCTGGTTTCGAATCTGAAGTAGAAATTTAAAACTTTAAAATGGATGCTCCAATATGGTCGACCGAAGTGCAGAAATATCACTTGTTTGGGATGAAACTCGGTACAGGGGGTTTTCGAAGTCGTCATCCGTATCATCCGTATCATATACAGTATCATCCGAATGAAGTGTCACTTCTGCATTTTTTTAAAAGATATATACTTCATTTTTTATACTTTTTTCATTCTCGGCGCTGCACCAGTCCGCCATTTTGAATTTTCACAAAACGCCACACGGCAATAAAAAGTAGGCACTCCAACGAAAATTTTAAGCCCTGGTTGGTTGAATTTTGTCAAAAAATGAAATAGACAGAAGGAGACTCCGACACGCGGAGAATGCCCCATATACTTGTGTTCGTTTTTTGTTAAAATCATAAAATTCCTATTTTGTACCCTATAATATTAAAACGGAGCGTCGTAGAGAAAAACATTATTAACAAAATATGTTTGTTTTTATGTCCTCTATTTCCCCTCAAAGTTGGTCTAATTTTTTTACACTCTGTATATATATACATATATATATATATATATATATA